GTGTGAGCAGGGTCAGGGCTCAGTGTGAGCAGGGTCAGGGCTCAGTGTGAGCAGGGTCAGGGCTCAGTGTGTGAGCAGGGTCAGGACTCAGTGTGTGAGCCGGGTCAGGGCTCAGCGTGCGAGAGCAGCAGCAGTGTTTGGGGCTGGGTGGTGTTTCCTTCTCTGAAGGCTGGGGAGGTCGGTTCAGTGCCCTGTTGCCTGCATTCTCGGAATGCTTGGGTTCCAGCCTTGCTGTGTCTGATGTCTCTGTCCCTTGACTGGCAAGGCCAGTGATTCTCACCACTCCCAAAATATCAGCCTGGAGCAGGTGGGGAGCTGGCCCGGCCCCCGTGTATAAATACCGGTATCTGGCTGTGAGTTGCCTGACCTTTTGCGTAGGTGCGGGGTTTCCCCGGTGTGCAGGGCCTGGCTCCCTGGGCCTCTGGGGCTGCTGCCCTGATGGCCGAGGCCGGGTACGTGGGCACTATGCAGGACGGTGCTGGGCCAGGCCCTCCAGCTGAGTAGACAAAGCCCGCCTTGTTTTTGCTGGGCACCCAGAACCTTCTGGGAGAGCCTTGCTGCTGAGGTGGGGGTCCTGAGCACCACAGGGCGGAAGGGTGGAGGAAGGGGCTATGTGGGAGGTGGAGGTATGGGTTACAGCGAAGGTGGGCGGGTGGACAGGGACGCAGCCCCGCCAGCCATCCTGCCTGTCGCCGAGTTTCGTGTCCAGCACTGCTAGGCCACAGGCCTCCTGCACTGCTAGGCCACAGGCCTCCTGTGGTTGAGGGGACAGTTCCCTGGCCTGATGTCCAGGGATGGGGACCTAGTCCTGTCCTGGGCCCCCAGGAGGCATGGGCATGCCTGGGGGTCACAGTCCAGGTGCCCTGCCCAGCCCCCTCCCTCCTTCCATCCTGCCAGGACCTGAAGAAATATGGGGCCACCACTGTGGTGCGCGTGTGCGAAGTGACCTACGACAAGGCCCCGCTGGAGAAGGATGGCATCACCGTGGTGGTGAGGGTGTGGCCCCAGTGGTGAGGTGGTGGTGGGGTGGGGCCCTGGCTGTGGGTCTAGCATGGAAGCCCCCTCTCGTGCCTGTTGGTCCCTGGCCTGTGTGTGCCTGGACCGTGGGCACGCGGGCACCGGTAGGAAGTGAGCGTTGGGACAGAGGACCTTGAGCGCATGGCTCCTCTGCCCCCCCCCCCCCGAAGGTGGGGTTGCTGCGCTCGGGGGAAGTGTTGGCTAGCCTCCCGAGAGCCAGGCCTTCCTGCATGTCGGGGTGGGCGGTCCTCACTGATGTTACCAAGCCTCAGACCCACATCCCCCCTGGGGAAATGGAGGCCTGGGGGCCAGGCATTGTGGGGCACAGTCAGGAGGACTTAGCTGGGGAGTGTCTGCCTGGGCCCCTGGCCCGGGCCCCCGTGGTGCAGAGCAGCTGAGACGTAGCGGGTGCGTCCCCATGCTCTGAGCGAGCAGCAGCCTGGCTCCTCTGTGCTTGGGCCTGTCCCGGGGGCCTCATCTCAGCCTCTGTATGCCAGATGCCCGGGGCCCTGTAGCTGGGCAGCCGTGGGCATCTGGGGAGGGCCTCGTGGAGGCCTGAGGCCTCCTGGGCTGTTTCCTTGGTGCCTGTGGCTCTGGGGACCCTGTGGAGGCTGACACAGCGCTGTGGGACGGGCTGCAGGCAGGCTCCCTGGTGCAGGAGGGAGGCCTGGGTGGGCCAGGCCGGGGAGGCAGGCCCCAACTAGCTTGGTGCTGAGCTGCTCCTGGGCAAGGACCCTCTTGTAGTCGTGAACAACCATGGCTTGGCGGTTTGGGGTAATCAGGTCGGGGCTGAGTCCTGCTGCTGTCCCTTCCTGGCTGTGGGTCCCCATGGGCCACTCGGAGCCTCACCTAGTGTGGGTGGTTGGAAAGCACCAAGTACCTCTTCCTTCCCCCAGGCAGATCGGGTTGGGGTAGACGCTGGCAGGACACGGCAGCACGTTGCTGCTTTCCCACTGATCCAGAGGCTCCTAGCTGCCGCTGGCACAAGAGGTGGGAGAGGCTGTGGCACCAGAACTACAGGCAGGCCAGGTGCTGTGGCTCACGCCTGTAACCCTCGCTCAGGAGGCTGAGATCTGAGGAGCCGAGAGTCCAGCACTCCAAGTAGGGTTGGAAGCCAGCCTGGGCAGGAAAGTCCCTGATACTCTCATCTCCAATAAACTACCAAAAAAGCCAGAAGTAAAGCTGTGATTCCAGTGGTAGAGCGCTGGCCTGGAGTGAAAAGGTTCAGGGACAGTGCCCAGGCCCTGAGTTCAAGCCTCAGGATTGGTGTCCCTTCGAGAAAAATTAACTCCAAACCACAGGCAGCTGACCAGGAGCCTCTAGAGAGAGGGGAAAGGCCCCAGAGGAGGAGGGGGGGAGTGGAGGGAGGCCTGGGGCTCAGCACCCTGTGCCCTGGCACTGCCCATTCTCCCCGGGCCCCAGCGTCGGTTCTCAGTTCTTCCCTCTTCAGGACTGGCCCTTCGATGACGGGGCGCCTCCGCCCGGCAAGGTGGTGGAAGACTGGCTGAGCCTGCTGAAGGCCAAGTTCTGCGATGACCCGGGCAGCTGTGTGGCCGTGCACTGCGTAGCGGGCCTGGGGAGGTGAGCCATGGGTGGGGCTGGTGGCAGGCCGGACTCGGAGTGGTTCAACAGGCTCTAGTGCTGGGAGTTCACATTGAACCTGGCTTCCTGTGCATTGCCTTTCCTGCCTTCTGATGCGGGCCTCATCCACCTGGCCTTCCCAGAGTCAGCTGCCTGTATTCCAGGGTCCCAGGCAAGTCCTCCCATAGCCTGGCAGGGAGGAAGGCCTTCCGAAGCCGAACCTCACCCCCTCCTGCTGTCACCTGCCCCTCCCTAGACACAAAGACCCCCCCCCCCCAGCCCACTGAGCTGGGCCTGCAGCTCTTCCTGGAGAAGGAACAGGATCTGGCTTGGCTGGAAATGAGCCAAGCTAGGGAATCATCCATTAAAGGGACCACCAGCATCATGGTAGTCGCCGTGTCCCGAGTTCTCATCCCAGACACTTGGCCTGGGCACTGGTCTGTTCACAGCAAGTTACCCACAAGGCACAGAGGCACGGAGAAGTTGTTGCAACCAGGAAGAACCCTGGAGGGAGCTGGGATTTGGTCCCAGGAAGTTGGTCTGGGCCTTCCATTGAGCAGCTTAGGGAACTGGGAGGGGCTGGGGGGACGGGAGAGGATCAGGCCTCTGGAACACCATGCCCGCGTCTCCAGAGGTGGTGTGTTGGGGGACACGGGTTACGGGGGGGCTCGGATGACCAGCCCTTGTCACATGCCCGCAGGGCTCCGGTCCTCGTGGCACTGGCCCTCATTGAAAGTGGGATGAAGTATGAAGACGCAATCCAGTTCATCCGGCAGTGAGTGCCCGGCGGTGGGAGGGGCTGAGGGCTCAGGGGTGGGGACCCATGAATGCCCGGCGGTGGGAGGGGTTGAGGGACTGGGTGCAGGGCTCCTGCTGCTGGGGGAGGGCAGGACTGTCACACCGCTCTGTCCTCTGGTGCTCCATTGCTTTTGCCTGTGCAGCTCCCTGGCCTGAGGCTGCTCAGGTTGCACGGAGGCCTTGTCGCTTGTGCAGGGGGATGGATCCTAGCCCGGGCTGGTGGGGGCTGAGCGGGGCCTGGTGACCCGGCCGCCTGTCTCCATCTCTGCAGGAAGCGCCGTGGAGCCATCAACAGTAAACAGCTCAGCTACCTGGAGAAGTACCGGCCCAAGCAGAGGCTGCGGTTCAAAGACCCGCACGCACACAAGACCAAATGCTGCGTCATGTAGCGCAGGAGCCTGGCCAGGCCCAGCTCTGTGATGGCCGCGTCGGTCAAGGCCTGTCCTGGCTGCCTTGTGTCATCCCGTGGCCTCCCCCGGGCTGCGTGCACCTGTGTCTGAGGAGGCCGTGGCGGTGTGCGGTCTCTCTGTCTTCCTGTCTGTCTGCAGCTCCACCCACGTGCCCCAGGGCCCACGGCTGCCTCTCTGAGGCCGGTTGGCCCTCTGTCCTGGACTTGTGGGCAGCACGCTGTCCCGGCTGCAGGCTGCCCTTGGCCTGCTCGCTGTGGGGCATGTGTTTTTTTAACCACTGGCCCTTTTTGGCAATCCCTCATCTGTTCTCGGCACCTCGTTATTGGATCCCGGGGCGTCAGATGCTCTGGACATTTGAAGGCAATAAAATGGGAGCCGTGGCTACGTGTGCATACTGGACACAGGGCCGGGTGGGGGTGGGTGACCCCACGGCCCTGGGAGGCTACTACTGCTGTCCCTCTGCCCCTCATGCTAGGGCTCCCGTGTGCTCCCACAGCGCCCCTTGGTGGCCAGGCCTGGCCCTACGTGCCTCGACTGCGTGTGTGGTGGGATGGGGGCGCTGTTGGTCCAGGGCCCCTGATGCCATCCCTTCCCCTTGGTGGCGTCTGAGGCCCTGGACAGGCCCAGGCAACCACGCACCAGTCCCCAACTGGCACTCTGTCCTCTGGGCCCACCCACCTGCCCTGGGTCGCCAGGCACCTGAAAGGGGTCCTGAGCCCCTAAAATCTCCGCTCCTTCCTCCTTCCTCCGCCGGCTCACCCACCAGCGGCAGCACCCTGCCCCCAGGCCTGTGTCCCTGCACTTGCCTTAGGAGTCCTAGGGTGGCCTGGGGAGGCTGCAGCTTTCCCGCAGCCCTAGAAGGGGACAAGGTGGGACACGGCTCCCCCTTTCCATTCCAGGCCTGCTTTGTCAGGCTTGGCTTGGCCTGGTGTTGCTGTGGGTGTCTGAGCACCTACTGTGTGCCACCTCCCCAGAGCCTGCCTGTCCATGCCATGGGACACCACCACGGTGCCTGACTCAGGGCCAGGTCTGAGGGGCCAGGCCTGAGAGCCGCAGGTGGGCCTGCTGCCCAGGGCCCAGGGCTCTCGAGGGCAGCCAGGAGGGCTAAGAGTAACCCACTCCAAGAGCCCACCCTTCTCTGGCCCCTGCTGCCCCGGCCCATCAGGCTGGATCCAGGAGAGACCCCAGGCTCGGATGCCGGCCCTGTGAGGTTAGTGGTCAAGCTGGTGACACGGAGATGCAGAAGTACGCTGAACACGCATAGCCGCTCCCCGCGGGCAGAGGCTAGGGAGGTGGGACGATAGGCTGGGCTTTGTCTAGGCGAGGTGGGGCGCTTGGCCACAGGAGCAGCCCAGGCCTCTGTCCGGCAGGGCTCGTTGCTGGGCCTTGGGGTCGAGGGGTGGGGATGCGCGGGTCGAAAGCTCTGCTGGGGTGTCCAGCCTGGGAGAGCTGGCTGGCCCATCTGGCGGGGGTGGGGTGGGGTGGGGGGCACAGACAAGGGAAGGCCTGCCACTCCACACGAGGGCAAGCACGGCTGAGGGATGGCACCCTCCCCTGCCCTCAGCCCGACGTGGGCCAGGCTGGCCGTGCCTGCCAGCCCCGGGACTTGCCCTGACTGGACTCAGGAGGGTGGAGGGGTTGGAAGGGAGACTCGGGTCCCTGCCTGGCTTGACATCCTTCCCCACCATCAGCTTCAGCCCCCACATGGCTCCAAGATGGAGACAGACCAGAGGCCAGGGGCGCCAGGGGGTCACGCGGAGCTGGCTGTGTCTCTGGAAGCAGAGGGGCTATCACGGCTCCCGACCCTCACAGCCCGTCTCTGCTGCCCTGCTGGCAGTCCCCGCCCACGGCGGAGGGGCTGCGGATGTTGGGATGGGGCCACGGAGGGGAGCTGGTGGGTCCACAGTGCTTTGTTGAATCTAGACTTTTCTTTCAAATGGAAAAATGTCCTGCAGCCGAGCTCTGGCGAGCGGCACCGAGGCTGCCCTGCATGGGCTCGGGGCGCAGGACAGGCAGGGAGGCGGCTGCCAGTCAGTCCTCGGATCTGGTCGACACCTCCCGGAAGAAGGAGAGCAGTCTGGTGGCAAATTCCCGGATGCCTGGTTCTGGGTCTTTTCTGAGATCTTCGAAAGCTCCAGGGATGGGAGAAGAGACAAGTCAGAGGGGACCTGGCCGTGGAGTGGCCCCAAGGCAGCCGCGTGGGGGTGGGTGTGAGCCAGGGCCAAGACCTCATGCTCCATCACATTTGCCGGCCCACCCCTTGTGCCCTGGCTCTGTTGGAGGGGTTCAGTGGGCTGGGCAGAACCCCACACCCCAGGGGCCCTGTCTGGAGCTCCAGGCCAGGGACAGAGGCAGGGCGGGAGAGGCCTGGGTCCCATGCTGGGGCTGGCACTAGGCTGGGGAGGAGCTGGAGGAGCCGCTGATCTCTGGGGTTTTGGTTTTGCCATCTGTGAAGTGGGTCTTAGTATGTGGAGTCAGGACAGGGGCTGCTTACTGCAAAATAGTAGCTTTCCGTCGATGTCATTGGTCATCTGGGCCACGGCCTCAGGGTGGTAGCAGGTGGTGTACCCTGTGAGAGGCCGCTGACAGCTCTTGGGGGCCCAGAGCCACCCTGTGTCCCTTCCCCCAGGACCCCTCCCCCACGGCCTGCTGCCCACCTATGAAGAGCGCTGCCCAGGTCTTGATGTGGTGGTGGCGGCTGTGCAGGCAGCTGAGGGCCTGGGATAAGTGGATGCCGAATTCCTCCTGGCTGTGGGTCATCTGGCCACAGGAAGCCCACTCATCATCACCGGGCTGGCCCGGCCCCCACGAGACAGCGAGGGGTCGGGGCGGGCAGCCCAGGCCCCACGCCCGGCCCTGGACCCCAGCAGCTCACCAGGCAGGTCCAGAGGAAGTGGCGGGCGCTGAGACCATGCTCCCAGGCCAGCGTGCAGAACAGTGTGTGCTGTAGGGGCCAGCAGAGCAGGACCGCACAGCGGTAGAAGGCGAACTTGGCCTGCTGTGGGGACAGCCAGGGGGCACTTCAGCCACTGCCCTGTGTGTCTGGGCCTGGGGTCTACCTCCTCCCTCAGTGACCACAGTGCTGAGGACGCCCGGGCAGGCTGAGGTCCGGGGAAGCGCCCAGCCTCAGGCTGGATGTGAGTAGCTCTGACTTGGCCCCTTGCAGCTGTGCTGCGTGTCCCAGGTGACAGTGAGGCCACCAACGCTGGGCACAGCAGGGAGTATTGCAGCCAGTGTACAAGCTCAGTGCTCCTCAGAGCCCTGTGCATGCCCCGTGCGGGGAACAGACACCTGGCTCACAGAGACAGCACAGTGAGAATGCACGTGTGAGTGCATTTGCATGCATGCAAGTGTGTGCACAGGTGTGTGGCCACTACACGTGCACACACATGAACCCCTCTGTGAATGCCCTCGTGTGCACGCAGCCACCGCGGGCACTGACCGCGACGACGGCCGGGCACTGGTCCTTCAGGTGCAGGAGTAGAGGCAGCATGCTCTGGCACACCTGGGTCCGGAGCCCACGCAGTTCCCTGTTTGCCACCGTTGCCACCAGATCTCCGAACAATGCCATGGCTGCTGCTCGAATCTTGTCCCGCTCCTGTGAGGCAGGGGCTTGGAGGGGGTGCCCGGGACCCCTAACATGGGGCCTTCCTCTCTTTAGGTTCCCTCAGCAGGGGTTTTTCAGGCAGGCCTAGCGCTCCAGGGCAGCACCATGCCTCCAACTCCTGCAGGGGCCCTGGACCTGGCCTTCCCCTTCAGACAGGAATCCAGGAAAGAGCCAGGCCTCCTCCCTCAGACTGAGCCAGGCCTCCCCCCTCAGGCAGGGCCCCAGGCCACGTCTCAGACTGTCCTCATCTACACGGCAGCCTGTTTCTCACACCCAATGATTGCATCCTTTCAATCCAGCTTGGTGCAGAACTTATGCTTCACCCCCTGCTCCCCTTCTCCCAGCGAAGGGAGGGTAGCTGCTGCAGATGTAACTTGTCTTAGGTTTGGGGGACTGCAGGGCCACTGGTGGAGCCGTAGGTGGAGGGGCCGGAGAGAGATTGGCCTTGACACTGCTCAGCCACACAGGGACCGGGCAGGCCAGCCCACCTGTGGCCGGGGCTCCTGCAGCTCCCTGGCCTTGGAGTCCCCCAGAGTGGGAGGGGCGTGGGGTTCCCAGGTCCCAGGGAGGCGCAGGGAGGGCCGCGTGGGACGCACCCAGCCCCACCTGGCCCCACGCTCACGTCATCGAAGAAGGAGCGGGCGTTGATAGCGACGCTGAGGCTCAGGGCCCCGGCGCCCTGAGCTCCGAGGCAGTGCAGCACATCTGACAAGGTCTTCATGACGCCCACCACCATGGCCTCGCTGTTCTGGAAGAAGCCGGCCAGGAAGGGTGGGATCTGTCTGCGGAGCAGGCTTCTCTGTGGATCAGGGGGTGAGGGCGTGGGCTACTCCTCCTCCTGGAGCCCCTATCCTTGCACCCCCATCCCTTGCACCCCTATCCCTTCCCTGTCCCTGTCCCCCGGGCCACAGGCTGTGCGGAGCCCCTGGGCACCCCATGCTGGGCTACCTGGGGCAGTGCAGCCCAGGAGACGGGATCTGTACTGCTCCCTCTCAGCCTCTTCCTCCTCTTGGTCCTGAGTCACCCCTCCCTCCCTCCGTCCCGTCTGGCCTTCGCTCCATTTCCAGCTCCCCATGGGTCAGATGCCGGCTGGAGCTGGACCAGTGGAGGCAGGTCCAGGGGCACCTACTGAAGCCCCTGCTTTCCCCCATAAGCAGAATTCCATGGGTCCCTGGTGGTGGTTTCGGGCTTTTCGTGTTATGACCACTGTGCTCCATTTTTATACCATCTTAAAATAATAATTATTGTTGTTATTTTTCTTTGTTGGTCGTGGGGCTTGAACTCTGGGCCTGGCTAGAGCTCTAATACTTGAGCCACAGCACTACTTCTAGTTTTCTGGTGGTTAATTGTAGATGACACCCTCATGGACTTTCCTGCCCCGGCTGGCTTTGAACTGTGATCCTCAGATCTCAGCCTCCTGAGTAGCTAGGATGACAGGCGAGAGCCACCCACGACCAGATTAAAATGAAAGATCCCTGGATCTTAACGTGGATGTGACTGGATCCTCAAGGGAGTCCACTGTGAGCTGATTCTGCCCGTCCCACTTGTTGGCAGTACACCCCTGAATTCTCTTTCCGATGATCATCGGAAAGCACGGTGGATGTCCCCAGATCTTGTGCTGTTTATCGATAATGTGTGCAAGCCAGGTGACTTGTTTTTACAACTTTTAAGCAAAGAGCCAGGATCCTAGTGCATTTGGCACCTGTGGGTGCCTATGAGGAGTGTTTTACAGTTAAGTGACTCAGTTGTTGAGAATTAATTTAATGTTTGATACCAGAACTTAGGACATCCATAAAGTTTGCTCAGAAACAAAAAGAATGAGTCAGATGAAGGGACTAAGGAACAAATAGATGATGGAGGTGGATGGATGAGTGGGTAGGTATACAGGTGAATGGGTAGCTGGCTGAATGGCTGGATAGGTGGATGGATGAGGGGGTAGGTATACAGGTGAATGGGTAGCTGGCTGAATGGCTGGATAGGTGGATGGATGATGGGTAGGTATACAGATGAATGGGTAGCTGGCTGAATGGCTGGATAGGTGGATGGATGAGGGGGTAGGTATACAGGTGAATGGGTAGCTGGCTGAATGGCTGGATAGGTGGATGGATGAGTGGGTAAGTATACAGATGAATGGGTAGCTGGCTGAATGGCTGGATAGGTGGATGGATGAGGGGGTAGACATACAGGTGAATGGGTAGCTGGCTGAATGGCTGGATAGGTGGATGGATGAGGGGGTAGGTATACAGGTGAATGGGTAGCTGGCTGAATGGCTGGATAGGTGGATGGATGAGGGGGTAGACATACAGGTGAATGGGTAGCTGGCTGAATGGCTGGATAGGTGGATGGATGAGGGGGTAGGTATACGGGTGAATGGGTAGCTGGCTGAATGGCTGGATAGGTGGATGGATGAGGGGGTAGGTATACGGGTGAATGGGTAGCTGGCTGAATGACTGGATAGGTGGATGGATGAGGGGGTAGGTATACAGGTGAATGGGTAGCTGGCTGAATGGCTGGATAGGTGGATGGATGAGGGGGTAGGGTAGCTGGCTGAATGGCTGGATAGGTGGATGGATGAGGGGGTAGACATACAGGTGAATGGGTAGCTGGCTGAATGGCTGGATAGGTGGATGGATGAGTGGGTAGGTATACAGGTGAATGGGTAGCTGGCTGAATGGCTGGATAGTCAGATGAATGGCTGGGGATAAATGGATGAGAGATAAATGGATAAATGGTGGGTGGTTTTGTAGGCAGATGGAAGGATGAACAGGTGGGGAAGGATGTTTGGGTGGGTGGATGAATGGATAGGTTGATGTGGTTGTATGGGTATGTGAGTGGGTAAAGGAATGAGTTGCTAAGGAGATACATGGGTAGATGAAGGGACAGATAGAAGGGTGGGTGGACAATGTATGGGTGAAAGGATTGATGAATACATGGGTAGATGCAGCAGTGGATGGATGGATGATGGGTCAGTAGATATGTGTGTATATATGTAAGGTTGGAAGATGAATGGATTGGTAAATGAATGGAAGGTGAGATGACTGGTTGAATGGGTAGATGATTGTGTGGAGGGATGGAGGGTATATATACACAAGGTTGATGGATTGATGAGTGGGTGAATGGATGGGTGGATGGGTGAATGGATGGATAGAGGGTTGGATGGGTGGATGGATGGTTGGGTGGATGGATGGGTAGAGGGTTGGATGGATGAATGGATGGAGGGGTGTGTGGGAGTATGTATGTATGGAAGGTTGGTGATGGATGGGTGGATGGATAGCTGCCTAGGTAGATGGAAAGGAAGGGTGGATGGTCAGGAGGCGGGTAGAAATTGATGAACCAATGCTTTCTCCAGCTCGACTCTCAAGTGCCTACTATGTGTCACGTGCTGTGCAAAGGGCGTTGCTGACTGGGGGGACCTTAATGATGGGCGCCTCTTTCTCCTGTGGAGATCTACAAGCTGAACACCAGTGGCGAGAGCCAGACTGGGGGTAGAAAGGCTTTGGGTTCTCTGGAAAGCATCCCTCTGTGACTCCTGGTGACCACACTGTCCTGCGAGCTCGGAAGGTCCTGTGTCTATAACAGCTTCCTCAACAGACACGGGGGCGAGGCGCGTCTCCCCAGACAGAGGTGGCAAAGGCGAGGTCTCTCCCTGCCCCGTCAGCGAGGACGCTGCTGTCTAGCTGGCTTTTAGCCTGGGAGGGCTGCACTGTGCAGGGTGCCCGCCACAAAGGGGACAAAGTGCTTGGGGCTGACCACAGGCCTGCGCTGCTCTCCGCAGGAACTCACGTTCTGTCTACCACGGAGAGGCAGACAGGGCGTTGGGTCCCCCACCTCTGGGGATGTCCAATCTGGGGAGCCAGCTGGCTGGCTTGTCTCTGCCCTCGGTGCGGAGGGGTGCGGTGCTCCCTCCCACATGGGAAACTGGTGCAGAGGTGTCAGGTGTCCCCGGCCACACCAGTGGAGGTGACAGAGACGGCGTGCCGGCCCGTGGGCCCCGCTGCCCCCGGCGTGGTGACCCCGCTCACCTTTTCTGGGTGGAAGAGGATGTTCCCGAGGCCCTGCAGGCTGGACACGCGAACCTTGGGGTTGGGGTCCTCGAGGCCTTGTGCCAGGATGGCCAGTGCCTGCTGCCTGGACAGCACCTCCAGCAGGGCGGGGCTGTAGAGGAACTGGGGGAGGGGTGGTCCCAGAAGGCAGGTTGCTCAGGCCCGGCCCTCCCTCCCGGTAGGCTGCACCCTCATTGGTGGTCAGGGGGGCCAGTGTCTGGGAGGGGCAAGGGGCCTTAGCTAGCTCCCCCTGGGCTTACACACATTGGAAGTTACCTGTCCACTCTTTCAGGTACACTGGCCCAGAGAGGGGAAGGGCCGGGTCTGCATTATGCAGTGAGGCTAGGGCCAACTTATACCCATAGCTGGCTCATGGGCACCTGGGGAGAGGCTGCCCGGAAATCTTGCTAGTTGGGTTGGAGCTGGCGTTAGGAGGCTCAGGCTTGGGTTAAAGGCATCTGGTCACCAGTGGCCATCATGGAGGTGACCCTACCTCGAAGCCCTGCTAATGCTCAGAGCCCACAGTGGCCAAGCCGGCCATAGCCCAGTACCTGCCCCTTCTGCTTCACCAGCCTGGGCTGCTGGTGGCCAGCCAAGCCAGGGGAGGACAGGGCTTCATTTGTGTCTCTTGGCTGGGTGGGGAGAGGATCCTCAAATTGTACCAAGCCCTTCCTGCCTGGCCTCAACTCAGAGGCCAGTTCTGAGGCATCTTGGGGCAGAGGGTGGATGTTTAGAGACATGGCTACAGGCTGCGGGGGGCTGATGGAGGGGCCCCAACCCAGAGCTGGAGGTGAGGGATGAGCGAGACACCCCCCCTCCCGTAGCCTCCTCCCACTGGGGCGAGGTCCAATGGGGTTTTGCTGTCAGGTGCCACGCCCTGGTCCCAGCTCACCTCAATGAAGATGAAGATGGCTGCTTTCCGCTCCCGTTCCTCCTGGCTCTGCAGGCTGGGCAGCAGGTGGCTCAGCAATGCCTTGATCTGTTTACACTGGTTCTGTACCATGGCCCTGCGGGGGCGGGGTCTGGCCTGCCGTCCCTGTCCAACCACACCCAGCACCACCGGGCAGGGGAGGCTAGGTGGCCAGGGGTGTCCCCACCTGAGTGGACATTCCCCTTTGCGAGAAAGTCCCTCCACCTCTGTGCCCTGGCTGTCCACTCTGTGCCAAGCCTGGGCTAGGCATGGGGTGGAGAAGTAGACACTGTCCCCGAGGAGGTCAAGGCCAGGATGGGGCAGGGGAGGAACCTGAGCCTACAGAATACCGTGCACCTGCCTGTGACCGGGGCTGAGGCTACTTGCCATCCTGTGCCCAAAGCCACTGGGCCAGCACCTGTGGATCTGAGGGATGCTGTTCACACACAGCCCTGTGGGGGCGCTGGTGATCTAGATGGGGCCTGGGTCCCATTCCTGGGGTCCACACATCCACCAAGCCTAGCGTAGGCTCCTGCTCCTTTCCCCAGGGATACCTGGCGAGGAGGCCCACGCCCTGCGCGTAGGTCTGGATGGAGGTGAAGTACTCCCAGGTGTCCTGCAGCTCCAGGTGGGCGAAGTCGTGCCAGTGCCCCGTGGTGGACAGCAGGCTCTTCAGTGCCTCTACCGATGTGCTGCGGCGGAGCATGGAGCTCAGGGTCCGTCCGGGCTGGAGCGCGCGCCCAGGCCACCCCTGCCCCAGCCAGCTCAGCCTCTATGCCTTCTCCCGGGATGGCACCTTCCTGCCCTTCTTGCCCCCAGAAGGGCTGAGGCCTAGGGTGAGGCAGGGCAGCCTGCAGCATGGACAGTCAATGCCCACCCAAGCCTGGGCCCTGCTTGAGCCAGAGACCAGTGAGAGCCCTTGTAGGGGAGACAGCAGGCTCCCGGGGAAGCAGCAGTGCCAAGGGTCCTGGGGTCACCTGCAGGAGACAGCAACTGCCCAGCACTGATTCAGGAGTGGAGTTCAGAGGGCAGGGCTGGAGAGAGCTTCTGGGCCAGCTAGGGCTCCGTGGCCTCCCCACCCCCATGCCTGAGCCTGGAGGGGTGCAGAAGCTTAAAGACAAGATGGAGCTGTGAGGAGGTGTAGCGGGAAGGGAGGAGGAGAGCTGTGTGGAATCAAGGGAAAGTTTCTTTCCAGTACTGAGGCTCTGCCCTCAAACACAGAGAATCCAGGAGACCTCAGCACACACGAGTGCGCATGTAACCGGGATGGCCCTGGGCTGATTGCTTGGTGGCCAGGGTGGGCTCAGGGTCAGCCCACAACGGGAGAAAGGAGAAGACCTGGCTGTGACTGACCGTGGTGGGTAAAGCCCGTAAAGCAAGGCGATGTCAGGGGAAGGGTGCCCTGCCCGAATCCCCTCTCTCCAAGGCTCAAGGGACAGCTCACCGATTGGGAACCAGGAACCATGAAAACACAAGACAAGTCCCCCCTGCCTCAAGGCTGCCGCTTGGTGTCCTGGGCACCTACCTCCCTGGGCTACTCCACAGTGGGTGCCCAGACCCCCTCTGTGAGCCTCCCTCATGGTACACTGAGTGACATCACACAGTCTCTGCACCCAGCGCAAGGCCAAGGGGCATCTTTCCCCTGGGGGAGGGAAGCTCTGTCACCTCTTGGGTATATTATAGGAGGCATGGGAGCCAGGCCCAGCCAACCAGAGCCTCAAGTGCTCTTGCTTCCCAGGGATTGGTTCAGGGGTGGGCATGTGACAAGAGCTGGGCCAATCAGAGCCAATGTACTTGGAATGGGTGGGGGAGACACTTTTGTGTTGGGAGAGACCTACCCCTAGAGAAGCCAGAGGAAGGTGGCAGAGCTAAGATGGATCAAAGCAGATTGATATGGCTTGAGATTGCTCAGCCAGGCTGGGGCCCCAAGAAACAGAGCTGCCCCTGATGAATGAGGAGGCATCCCTGGAATGTTGAATCCTGAGACACACAGATGCCCCTGGGGTATGGGGCTCCCAGGAGGGGTGGACAGCCCTGCCTTTCAGGACCTTCTCTTCTTGGGGTACAGGCCAGGGACAAACCAGGAAGAATGGCAAGGGTGCCTGGTGTTAGATAGCGTTGGCATCATGGCGGGGTGGTGTGCTATTCATGGAGGATGGGGGGGGGTCACTCAGCAGGTGAGTAGATATCTGTGGGCAGCAGCCCAGGGAAGGGCTTTGGGAAGGGAGAGAAGCAAGAGAAGCAGTCAGAGGGAGGCTGTTCCTCTTCGCTTATCTCTCAACCCGCCACACTTTGGGGAGGAGAACGTTTTATTAGCTTATTAGGGAAGATTCATGCATTGCATAGTTGATCTGAATAAAAAAAAGGAACTTCATGCACATTGGAATTCTGAGACGATAGAGAAGCAGTGACATTCTTTTCAGCGACAAGCCTTGGGGAGAGCTGTTAAGACTGACAAATTGCATGAAGCACCTCATAATACAAACAAATGAAACGCATGAGCCCCAGTGGTTCGAAAAGGCTTGCTTATTGGATTCCAGGAATTAGGACGGGGTGCTCTGGGAAGCTCGGGGAGCCTGCCCGGTTCCAGGAGAGGATGCCACAGCCCTCCCTCCCTCCCTCTGCTCTACCCCCCCCCCCAGTCAGGAGGGGATGAGGCTACAACTGTCCATGACCTTCACAAAAATGTGCCAATGGCCACCTAAGTAGCCAAGACACCTGCGGCGGGACATGTGTCAGGAGGATGACTTGTGTCTGGGACATTCACACCCAGACACACAGGGAGAGCAGAGGCTGAGATTAGAGTCCTGCTCCCAGCAGCTGATCTCCAGGGATGGCTGGAGCCACCGGCTGGAAGAACCAGGACATCTGGGCTCAGGCTAGGAGACAGGAGACAGCGCAGTCCTGTTGTTCTGGGCCTCTTGGTGTGTAGGCCTTGCTAAAGCAGCACGGCCCCAGGCACGTCTGCAGAACTGGCTGTGGGCACCCAGCTCTGGACTTACCTCTGGGGGCTGGGCGTGGCCTCGTGTGCCTGCTGCTCCGCCCCAGCCTCAGTGGGCAGATCCAGCTCCAGGATGTAGTGGACCTGGGTGAGGAGTGCCAGGAACAGCTCGGGGTAGGCCTCGCACACAGCCTTCTTGAACTCTCGGGCAAACTGTAGCTCGTGCAGCGTGTTCATGGCCTGTAGGGGAGATGAGGTGAGGGGCCGGGGCCTGGGGTGCTGAGCCAGGAGCGCCGATCATGCCCAAGACGGATTGTGGTTTTCCCTCACTGCTCTAATGCCCAGGGGAGAAATCCAAGTGTCCAGATGCCATTCCTGCCAGGACTGGGCCTCACCACCTGTGCAGCCCCTGCCACCTGTGCCCCCCCTCCCCCCTCCCACTCCCCCCGCACCTGTGCAGACCCTGCCTGGCCCTCTCTCCAAGCAGCTGGACCCGCTGCCCAACAGCGCCGTGTTCCCTGACCTCCCCCCTGCGTCGGGCTGGCATGATGCCCAGGCACACCCAAGGATTTCCGAGTGGACCCCCAGGGCCACCTTGGAGACAGCCCGACTGTGCCCTCTGCTCCGTGCGCAGTGGCTGTCGGAGGCCTGCTCTGCTCAGGCAGGTCTTCCCTGAGGTGGGGGTCCTGTCCTTCAGCACCCTGGTATGCTCAGCTTCATGTCTACAGGGGCCTAGGGAATGGCTGCTCCCCTTCCCTGGCAGCTGGACAGCAGCCCTGCCCGCCATGCCTCCTGACTGTGTGGTCCAGATTGTTCTGTGGTAGGGCTGGGAGACAGTGCTGGGTATCCATGTCAAGGAGGGGCAGCTCTGGGGCTCTTGGGACTCAGGCAGGACGTCCTGTGTGAGCTAGCCTGGGTCCTGTCCCATGGGGCTGCATGGTCCCCTGATGGGACTGCTGCTCTGTTTTGGGGCTCCAGGTGGTTGTTTGGGGGGACACTGGCAGGGAAGGGGCAGCCGTGATGCTGTGCGGCAGTTTTGGGGGGCTGGGATCATGCCTGCAATCACAAATAGGGTCAGGCCCAGCCTCTGCCTTGCCGGGGTCTGGCCGAGAGGGACAGGACGCCGAGAGGGACAGGACGCCGAGAGGGACAGGACGCCGAGGGGCAGGACACCGAGGGACAGGATGCCGAGAGGGACAGGACGCCGAGAGGGACAGGATGCCGAGGGACAGGACACCGAGGGACAGGACGCCGAGAGGGACAGGACGCCGAGGGACAGGACACCGAGGGACAGGACGCCGAGAGGGACAGGACGCCGGGAGGGACAGGACGCCGAGAGGGACAGGACGCCGAGAGGGACAGGACGCCGGGAGGGACAGGACACCGAGAGGGACAGGATGCCGAGAGGGACAGGACGCCGGGAGGGACGGGACGCCGAGGGACAGGACGCCGAGGGACAGGACGCCGGGAGTGCCTCATCCCGGAGGCAGGCATGCCTGGGCTTATGAGCAAGCTGGAAAGGTCCCTCCAGGAGGGTGGGGCTGCTTTATGGGTGTCCCAGCATCTGTGACTCCCCAGAACTCCACAGCACATGGGGGTATGGGAGGGGCTCTCCCTGCTTGAACTTTGCCCCCAGGGCCCTCCTGAGACGACTCTGACACAGTGTGTGGTGCACAGTGGGGATGGAGCCCCCTTACCAGTCCTGGGGATGGGTGGGGGAACGCTTGTGTCCAGACTCAGGGCCAGGGAGTGGGAGCTGGATAGAGAGCCTGAGCTGGATGCTTCCCGAGGCCCTGCTTCCCCTCTCCCCCCTCCTCCCACCAAAGCTCAGCACATCAGGCCAGGCTGGCCAGGCTGGGCTGGGGCAGAGACTCACAGCTAGTGAGCGCAGGTAGGACTTGTCCTTGGGCTGAGGGCTGCTGCCGCTTGTGCGAGGGGGCAGAGGCCGCACCCGAAGCCAGTTCAGCAGCATGCCCAGCACCAGGCTGCTCATCGGCTCTTCGGCCCCTAGGGCCCTCCACAGGCGCAAGGCATGGCTGTGGGCAGAGAGCAGCTGTGAGGGCCGTGCTCTATCCAGGCCTGCCTGGCTAGGCCAGCAGGCCCCAGGCCCTGGGTCTGGATGCCTGGAAGAAGCCCCAGGGTAAGGGTCCCTGGGCCCGAGCTATGTGCAGAACTCTATTTGGGGCAGTGCCTTTGTGCCCACCTTGCAGAGGGGCATCTAGGCTTGCCTTGATCAAGCCCTGTCCAGACTCTGGGCCCAGCCTGGCCTCTCTGACCTTCCTAAGGGCATGGTGATGTGAGGCGGTCCTGAGACGCAGTGACCAGCACATGGTCTTGGAGTCTGGGTGCTGGGCTGGTGTCAGAGTGGGCTACACTGGGGGTAGCTGAGTGGGCATTAAGGATTGTGCCCCAGACCTGACATGCTAAGTGAGCACGTGGCTTGGACTCCAGGACGTTCTACAGTGTAGCCATTGCCCCAGGAGATGGAGGAGGCTCTGTAAGCCTGGAGGGGCTGGACCAAGGCCCTTCCCTGCCCCCCACGGGCTGTGAGATCTTTTGTAAGGCACTTAGCCCCTCGGGGCCTCAGATTGGTGACTGCAGTGAGGGGCCACAGTGGCATCACAAGGACGGAGGACAGATGACCCATGGGCACTGGTACCCAGAGGTGACATTTCTGTCTACTCCCTGGGCCTCTGGGCCTCAGCCTACAGCCTGTGCTGAGGGAAGAACCAGAAGGGATCTCTGGTCCAGTGGGGGTGCAGCCTCCCATGAAGCAGGGGAGCGGAGAGGAGGGGGAGGAGGAGGAAGGAGGGCAGAGGAGAGAGGAGGGCACAGAGGTGGGGGAGAGGGAGCCAAGGTGACAGGTGCTCTCTCGAGGTGACTGGCTGAGTGAAAAGCTGTGGGCCGCACCTGCTAAGTGGGGCAGAGACCAGCCAGAAGGCTTGGAAATACGAAGTGACCCGGACAGCCTATGGCAGTGACGCAAGCAGGCTTACGGGGCACAGAAGCAACATGTCAGCAACCAAACGACAGTCAGCCCAACCCGCACATGGACCGAGTGCTTGAGCAGACATTTCTCCAGAGCATTTCTCCCATGGTGGGAAGCAAGGCACCAGCGCCATGTCCGCAGGCAGCGCAAATCAGAGCTCCACGTGCCACTGACCCCTCTGGGGACAGCCACCGTCCAAGGAACGGGAAGGACTAAGGCGTGGCGGAGCCTGGCCAGTGCTGGTGGGAATGGGAGACATGGCTGCCGTGGACAGCGTTTGGTGGGGCCCCAGGGAGTCAGACAGCACTGCCCCGCGGTCCCTCCCACATTGATAAAACAGTCACCAAGCCAAGTAAGTAGCAAAGTGAGTTACTAATGTAGGTAACATGACTAAGAGATCAACTGAATAATTTAGTAGTAACTGTTATTGACCAGGGAGTGACCAATGACCAAGCTAAAGCTTGGGTCAGATCTAGTTTTGTACAATTGAGCATGAATCAAAAATTTTTTAAGTAATTAAAAGGGGAAATACAGAAAAGGAAACATAGCAACCTGATTCTAAAAGTTATGTAGAAATGCAAAGGGTCCAAGATAGCCTTAGGGGAGACAGAGAGGGAGACTCCAGCAGCAGGCACAGATACGCTCTGCGGACACAGGCTGTAGGAAGTAGAACTCTGGTACTGGCCCTGGGGACAGAGGAGAGGCCACAGCACCCGAGCGGCCAGGCCAGCACCGCGTGATCAGCCAGTGAACTGGGTGGAGCCCTGCCTTGTGTCTACAAGAAAATCATGTCCAGGTGGGCTGCAGGGTTGGGTGTGCAAATGTGTGACAGTGGGGTGAGCCAGCATCTTGCCGACAAAGAGGTCAAAGGCATGGAAGGCAGGTCACGATATGGGAGAAGATACTTTTTTGGTGCCTGTCCTAGGGCTTGAACTTGGGGGCTGGGACGCTGTCCCTGAGATATTTTGCTCAAGGCTAGTGTTCTACCACTTGAACCACAGCTTCAACCTCCACCTTTTTAGTAGTTAATTGGAGATAAGAGCGTCAAGGATTCTGCCACCTGACCTGGCTTTGAACCACAACCCTTAGATCTTAGCTTCCTGAGTAGCTAGGATTACAAGAGTGAGCCACTGGTGCCCGGCACAAAGCCTGTGTTAAGGTCTGAATTTATACCACTGATGGAGCCTCAAAATCCTTACGCAGACACCTTCACATGCAAAGTCATGGCAGGCTGCTAGTGCCCAAGTGATGGCGGGCTGGGCTGCGCGAGGTGGGATGCTGGGTGGGAAGGAGCCGGGTGAGGGGCGTGTGCAGGTGGCAGGGCCCTGGCCTTCCTCTGTCGCCTCTGGGGCTTCGCTGGTAGCAGAGGGAGGGGATGGTGCCGTGGGAGGAGGCTGCTGTGGGGGCTGTGGGGGCACACTGGCTAAGCTGGGGGAAGTCGGAGGGAAGGGTGGCAGGGAGAGAGAGGTCAAGGGGGAGAGAGGGAGAGAGAAAGAGGGAGAGAGAGAGAGAGAGAGAGAGAGAGAAAGGGAGGGAGTGTCACTGGTGCAGGGCAGGGAATTAGTGTGTCCCCAAGCCAGGTGCAGGGCACACGGTGGCTGAGGATGTGGGATGGATTTGAGCCGGGATTTTAGGGAGGGGGCCTGCACCCATCTCTGGTTCAGGGTCTGTGAAAGGCCAGCCCCCAGCTGGAGGCTGCTGTAGCTGCTGGAGGGCTCTGGAAAAGCAGGAAGGAGAGGAGGAAGAGGAGGAAGAGGGAGGGAGGGAGGAGGAAGAAGGAGGGGGAAGAGGAGGAGAGGGAGGAGGAGGAAGAAGGGTGAGGAGAGGGAGGGGGAGGAAGAAGAGGGGGAGAGGGGGAGGAGAAAGAGAGGCAGGAAGGGGAGAGGAGAAGGAAGGGGAGGAAGAAGAGGAGGGGGAAAAGAGGAAGAGGAGGGGAAGGAGAGGGAGGCCTTTGCTGACCCATAGCGGGCCTTTGGAGTTGGCTAAGGTCTTTCCAGGAGCACTTAGGGTCCTGGGATCCCTCTGCCACCAGGCAATGGGGTGACAGAAGCTAAAGAGAATGTTTCGGGTGAAAGGCCCACAAATGGCGGTCATCAGAGCCTCCGGTGCCCACCCCGGAGGTCTGTGTCAACACCCCGGTGTGCAGCCTCCTCCATGTCTGTGGGTCTCAAGGGAGCAGACAGCTTGGGGGGGGCAGAGGACGAGGGCAGGACTGGGCACCTGTCCAGAGGGATGGAGAAGTCCAGGAAGGCGGCCACCAGCTCCGGGGCGTGGCTGTGGGCCAGCAGCGTGATGGCCTGCAGGGCCTGCTCCCTGGCTGTGGGGTTGCCTATGGTGCACAGGTGCTGGTGGATGGCCTGGCCCATTTCAGCCACCTGTGTGGGGAGGGGAGATCGGATGGGGAGGCCCAGCCCAGCTCCTTCTGACCCTGAGAGTCTGGGTCGGCAGTTGCAGGGCTCAGTGGGGGTGCATCTTCCCTGGGCCCTGGAAGCCCCACCCTCCATCCGGCCAAGAGCAGGGCCCTGGAAGCTGACTGCTGCCCTCCCGGCCACCCTGGGTGGTGGGGGGAGGCCCAACCCCTTACAGTCTCCAGCTTGGTCCCATGCTCCTGGACGACAGACAGAAGCAGCTGGGCAGCCACCTGCGTGTGCAATTCTCTGGCAGAGCCCAGGTTGTCGATGACTGTCCAGAGGAAGTCTGTCAGCTCCGCCAAGCTGAGCTGCCTGATGATCACCTGTGGAGTAGAGAGGGCGTCGCCCGGCCCCTCAGGCCCCCAGTCCCCACCACTGACTCCATTGTCATCCTTCCCCTTTGTCCAGATCCCAAGACTCTGAGATCAGATGTGGGAGGCCACACTCCACCAGCCCCCTCACGTGGGCCTGCACTGATGACGTCAGTCTGTCCTCACGTGGGCCTGCACTGATGACGTCAGTCTGTCCTCACGTGGGCCTGCACTGATGATGTCAGTCTGTCCTCACGTGGGCCTACACTGATGTCAGTTTCTGTCCTCACATGGGCCTGCACTGATGACGTCAGTCAGTCTGTCTTCACGTGGGCCTGCACTGATGATGTAAGTCTCTGTCCTCACATGGGCCTGCACTGATGACGTCAGTCTGTCCTCACGTGGGCCGGCACTGATGACGTCAGTCTCTGTCCTCACATGGGCCTGCACTGATGACGTCAGTCTGTCCTCACATGGGCCTGCACTGATGACGTCAGTCTGTCCTTATGTGGGCCTGCACTGATGATGTCAGTCTGTCCTCACATGGGCCTGCACTGATGACGTCAGTTCCTGTCCTCACATGGGCCTGCACTGATGATGTCAGTCTATGGCTCTCCTGAGGAGGCTGCTAGAGTGCCTCCCATTGCCAGGTGCTGGTAATGTGCTCCTGGTGGTTTCCCCACCTTCGCTGCAGGCCTCCGCTGGGGTGACAGCCAGGTGAGCCTTGTCTCCCTGGCCTGCTCTTGCCCCTAGCCTAGGCTCTCTGGTGTAAACTCAGCTCTGGGCTGGCTTGCTGTAGCCACTGAGAACACAGGGTCCGGCGTCCACCAGGGCACTTCTGAGCCTCATACACAACCGTCTCAGCTTGGCTGGACGCCATGTGTGTTGCTGAAGACCAACTAGTTCTGCCCACAGATGCTGCACTAAACACTGGTCCTCAGATTTCATACTAGCCTCTGACCTCTGGATCTTGTGCCAGCCTCTGACCCCCAGATCTAGACTCTGACCTCCTGATCCCATGCTAGCCTCTGACCCCTAGGATCTAGCCTCTGACCCCCAGATCCTTGCTCGACTCTGACCCCCAGATGCTGGGGTCTGCCCTGCTCATCGCCCCCCACCTCCAGACCCTACAGGTTTTGACCTTGATGGCATGGTTGCTGCCCAGCTGGAAGATGTGTTCCTTTGGGGGCACTGTCTCCTGGGCGATCAGGGTGGTGTCCCCCTGGTCTCCAGTGCTCCAGACGGCGGCTCTCTCTGTGTGGGTCTGGGGAGGCTCCTTGGGGCTCTGACACTCCACCTGTTCTGGCCCTCCTGCAGTCAGGGCAGGGTGAAGAGGCCGGACGAGGATGGAGACAGCCAGAGGAAGGACGGCTCATTAGTGTTGGGGCTGGCCAGTGCCCCGTTTGAGGCCGGGGGTCTGAGAGGTGGAGGTCATTGTCGGGATGAGTTGGAGACGGGGCTTGGGGCACGGTCAAGTTCAGAGTGCTGGTGTGGCTCCGCCTGAAGTGGTGGCTGAGACAGGGTGGGGGGAGATCTTTCCGGAGGGCGCTCACCTTTCTGGTGCGTCAGGAGCGGGTAGAGGTGACCCACCCCTTCCAGACTGTGGTACTGGGTGGTCCCGTCTGGATCCTGGCACAGAATACCCAGCATGCCCGCCAGCTTCCCGATCCGCGTGAAGTTCCCCTGTCAGTTGAGGGCATGTTCCTCCCGTGGCCCCCACAGTGCCACGGGTGCCCAGCACTGCCTCTCCCAAACCGGGTGGCGGAGCTGGGGCTGGGGACTAGCAAGATGGGATGGGCTACTAAAGAACGTGGCAATCAAGAGAAAGCCTACGACTAAGGCAATATTGAGGAAAACACAATGGATCCAGGCGCCGGTGGCTCATTCCTCAGTCCTGTCACCCTAGCTGCTCAGGAGATCCAGAGCCCCACAGAAATACGCACAAAGCTCTACCAAGTGTCACATGTCGCTAGCTCTTATTTGTAAGAATAACTGGCCAGCTCACATGCTCTAGTCACATAAATCATCGAATTCATCCATCACGTCGACACAGGATTAATCTTGAGCGAGTCTTTTTGCTCTCCCACTCAAGTCCCCGCATGTGCGCACAGTGCCGGTCCCTCCTGCCACCACTGCATTGGGCCGCAGGCCCCAGGCGGGGTGCTGGTCCCCTCCCCCCGCTGCCCTGAGAGGTCAGCCCGGATCTGAGTGAGAACACGCTCATCGCAAGCTCCGGATCTGAGTGAGAACACGCTCATCGCAAGCTCCCGGGACAGCAGCCACCCTGGCGTGTGGAGGCCCGCGGGGGGTGAAGTGCAGGCGTGGGGGCTGCTCCCTGTGTGGCTAACTCCCCCAGCCCATCTGTGCGGCCGCAGCCTAGCAGCACTTCCTCGGGCTGCCTTCCATCCTCTCCTCATCTCATCCCTCCTGTTACAGGTGAGAAGCGGGGGCTGGAGGACGGCCAGCATCTGCCTGGGCCTCGAGGTGTGTGGACCAGCGCTCTGCCCAGGTCCACAGCCTGCTTCCCGTTCCCTGTGCCCGCGGCCAGGGGGCCTGGCGGGGCTGGGTGGCGCCCAGGGCTCCGGGGCAGAAGGCCCAGGTGCTGGGGCGGGGAGCCGGTACTCACGTCCAGGTAGTGGTTGTGGTTCACGAACTCGAGGAGGCACACACAGGTTTGCATAGCCCGCTGGCGCTCGTGCGCCTTCTCCGACGTCAGCCAGACGTAGATGTGCTGTGGCGGGGGTGGGGGGTCAGGGTGTGGGGGCCGGGGGCATCTCTGAGATGTCCAGGGATGGAGGGGCACGGTCAGGGCTCCGGAAGTGTCAGGGAGGGGTGACGCGGCCCCTTCACCTGGGGCCCACGCCGTTGCCTTGCCCCGCGGTGCCCTCTGCCCGTGCGCCCTTCCCGGGATGGCTCCGTGGTGACGTCCCACGGGTCCTGAACTGTGACCTGGGTGGAGCCCGCGGGGAGGGGGGCAGGGGGAGGAGCTCCTGCACCCAGCCCTCACCGACAGCAGGAGGTCTAGCTCGTCTGACGTGGGGTTCTGCTTGACGAGACTCTGCAGCATGCGGTCCAGGGCCTCCGTGGTCTGCCGGTACAGGGCCTGTACAAGGGAGGAGGTCAGCCGTGCTCCGAGGGCAGAGGATGAGGGCGTCAGTCTAGCACAGCACCTACAGATGCCATGTTCTGCCAGGCTCTACCCCACCGGAGCCCATGGCTGTATCCTGGAAGCCAAGGAAAGGCCCATCCAGTGCACGTGAAGGTGTCAGGGAGGCGGGCGGGGCCACCCAGGCCCAGGGTTCTTGATTTTCTTTCCAGGTGGACTCCTTTCTAGCAGGGCAGGCTGTGTAGGGGTGACCCGGCCCCTCCACAGGGCCCCAGGCTTAGGAGGGCCTGCATTTGCTATATCAAAAGCTGGGCACTGGTGGCACATGCCTGTAATCCTGCCTTCTCAGGAAGCTGAAAGCTGAGGATCATGGTTCAAGGCCAGCCTGGGCAGGAATATCTGTGAGACTCTTATCGCTCATAAATCACCAAAAAGCCAGAAGTGGAGCTGCAGCTCAAAGTGACAGAGCACTAACCTCGAGCACAAAAGCCCAACCACAGCACCCAGGCCCCGAGTTCAAGCCCCAGGACTCACACACACACAAAGAGCCCCGGTTTTCCCTTTGGGCGGTGCCTTACAGACACTGCTGCTGGCTCTGGCTTGGCCTCTCACAGGCCCCTGTGCTCTTCAGTGCCCTGCTCATCAACCCCAGCCTACGCTCCCACTGCCTCACCAGCTGCAGAGCCCCTGAGCGCCAGCCACCGTCTGTCTGGGGGCCACAGGGGGCCAGCTTCACCTCCCAGCCCAGGTTCCTCCATAGGAGGGTGGCAGCGGGAGACGGGAGCAGGCAGGACCCCAGCTCAGCGCCCCCATTTCAGTGCTGACCGAGTCTGATCACGGGGTGCTCTGCCACCCTGGGTGGAGGGACCTCACTCCGTTATTGCTGCACTCAGTGCACATCTGTGTAGACCCAACCCAGATCCAGCCTTGGGAAGGCGCAACAAGAGCCGCGGAGGTAGGTGATGGGGGCTGAGGGAGGCAGCTCCAGTCCCAGGAGCAGGGAAGGTGGGAGAATGTCTGCAGAGGGCCTGACGCCTACTGGTGGTCACAGGGCACGGGCCTCCCTGCCCTCAGCCCTGACAGCCCGGGCCGCTGTCAGTGCTCCTATTCCTGGCAGCCATAGGTGCCCCCTGGTGGTGTCTATGGGACACTGCAGGCATATCTACTGTGCGTCTCAGCATTCCAACCCCATTGTTCCCATCCTCCTTGGTTACCATCCCCAATCCAGCCTGTGGTGTGGCCAGGGACCCTCCTACTTTCTCCCAAGTGGACAGGACAGCAGACAGAGCCGATGCCCTGCCCGGGAGGCCATGGGGGCCTCACCTGTACATTGTGTGGCTCCCTAGAATGGCAGGTGTGCGTCTCCAGGGTGTCGGGCTGCGGAAGGGCAAACACACTGTGGAGGCAGGCGCGCAGCAGCCGTGACTTCCGGTCCGTGTCCATGGGGGGCCTCAGCTCACTGTGGGGGACGCAGAGGGTAGCAGTCTGAGACCAGGGGACAGGGAGACCCCCGTGTGGGGACCCAGGGCCTCAGGCACCGGCACCGCTCCCGTCTACCTCTGACAGTGCAGATCTTAGCTGTCTGCCTCTCGTGGACATGCCTGCGTACATCTGCTTTGCTGGTCCCTGCGCAGTCAGCCCCAGGGCCTTTGCTCTCGCTGTCCCTCAGCCAAGGACACTCAGGCCTCACTCTCTGACCCTTCGGGGATGTTTCTCCACAGCCCTTTCTGGGCAGCCTGACACTGTGTCCTGGAGCTTGGAGGAGCTCCGGGCTCATGAGGTACCCAGACAGCTAGCCCTCGCCTATCAGCTTGGCTGGCCCCAGGCCAAGTCTCACAGAACACAACCCTGTAAGGATTTCTTTCCCTTCCCTGACTCACTGCCAGCCATGTCCTCAGCCCTGAGTGTGTTCTGTGTGCCAGCTACTCCTCCCTGAGGGTCAGAGAACAGGGACAGTCCCTCTTGGCTCAGAACTAGGCCCTCAGAGCCCAGGTGGCTCCTGGCACGCCATGGTTGCTCCACAGCTGTGTGTGTGATGGTGAATTAGGAGACAGGGGCTCAGGAAGGCTGTGGGGTAGTGGGGTTTGAACCCGGGCTGAGTGGATCCGGCTGTCCCTGCCACCTGCCCAGGTGCTGCCAGCTGTGCCCCCTGCAGGCAGCGCTCGGGCCTCTCTGAACTCCCTGGGTGCTCAGGTTCCGGGGGGGCCTGGCGCTCTTCCCCTCCACGGCCGTGGAGAGCGGAACTGGGACCTGCTACCCCAACTGCGGGTCCTGGAGATTCTGCACTCCAGCCTTGCTCTTCCCCTGGGCTTGGCTGGGGTCTAGACTCAGTGTTTCTTTGTGTGTCTGTCCAGCCAGATGCTACCTAGTCTGGGCCGTGTCAGGAGTGGCTGCTCTACCTTTGCATCTGGGAACAGCTGCTGACAGAGGCCTGGGCATAGCAGGGCAGGGCAGGGCAGGGCAGGGCCGCCTACCAAAGGCTGGTGACGATGTTGATGGCCTCCTGGCGGCTGTGGGTGCACAGCGAGTCCTGGGGCTCCTTCTCCATCAGGGCCTGCAAGTCCGTGGGTCAGGTGTGGCCTGCTCTGCCGTGACACTGTGTCTCTTGACCTGAGACCCCAGTCCCGGCTGCCCAGTGCTCCCTGTTCCCCTCTGCATCCGGTCTCTGGAGTCAGACCAGGTCTGAATCCTGGTCACCATGTGCCGGTGGCCAGGGCCTGCGCACTCTCCTGACAGCCTGGAGTTTTCTCCCAGCTGGTCACAGACAGACCCCATGGGAAGCCAGGTGGGCTAAGCTTAGGCCCGGGAGCCCGCAGGGGCCAGGACCCAACGGTGCTCATCAGTGCTGTGGTCACCACTGCCCAGGCTCCTGTCTTCTCCACCCCCCAGGGGTGGTGGTGAGTGAGGCCCAAACCCCCAGCGGGCTGGGTGGGATCCTGGCCAGTGGTGCAGAATGTAATGTCCGGTGCCTGGTCAGCTCAGGGCAGCTGTCAGAACCAGTCACTGGGGTCATGGAGGGTGACAGCCTATCATAGAAACCCACCCGCCACCGCAGGCCAGCCCTGGAAGGGGGCAGGCCCTGGGGGGAGGGGGCAGACCCTGGGGGGAGGGGACAGGCCCCAGGGAAGGGCCTCCTCTAACCCTCCCCTCCGCCACCTTCCCCCCCCCCCCACGCACTATCAGACACTCGAGGAGCTCGCCGGTCTGGGAGAGCTCGTAGCTGTGGGCGCCCTCGCTGCGGTGGATGGCCTCGAGCAGGGTGGAGGTGGCCGTCAGGAAGCTCTGCTTCAGGACGTCGTCCTGCAGGGCGCAGACCCAGGACAGGGGACGGGTCCGACTGAGCCGGGGCACGTGGGTTTTCTTCAAGAATTAGGGAAACCCTAACGCGTGGTGACTGGGGGGGCGGCTGGTGAAGAGGGGGCCCCTGCAGCCACCCAGCGTGTCCCCACCCCACCGGGAACAAGTCCAGGGTTTCTCTAGTGTGTGTGTGGGTTTTCTCATGAAAGCCCAGAGGATTCTGGGAGGAGGGGGCGGGGACTGGGGCAGCCAATAGGAGGCTGGGCCTGGGGGGTGTAAGGGGAGGGGCCTGTGGGACTCGGGCTGTGTAGTCACCATACCCAGGTGCTAGAGCGGAAGTAGAAGACCATTCTGGACAGGATGTTGTCCACCCAGGGGAGGATGTGGGTCCTGGCTTTGGCCGCCACCTGGCCATAGGCGAGGAGGAGGGTGCTGCTGGCCCACTTCCACTGTGGTTCCTCCAGTTTCTGCATGTGTGGGAATACAGACGGAGGTCAGGCTTGGAGGGCGCCCTCCTCCCGGGCACCCCGGGCAGCCGGCAGAACTGGCCATCCAGAGGGGGTTGACCTCAGTTTATGTCAGGAAAACACAGGCTTTTGGGTAGTTGGGATAGGCCATGGACAGGCTGCCAAGGCTGGACACAGGGCACTTGGCTTTGCTGACCTGGCCGGAGGCCAGGCTGCTCATCTGGGAAGGGGACTGGGGGTTGTACCTACACCCAGAGAGACAGTTTCTCACTTAGGTGACCCCCAGAGAGTGCAGGCCTGGGGTGCCCCCTTTCTAGACTGTGTGAGGTCCTTTCTGCTCCTGGGGCCCAGGGGCTCCCGGGAAGTGGGCTGGGACACTGTGAGCGCCAGCAGGGGCTGCTGACAGGTGGGGACAGGAGCGCAGCTGCAGGGCTGTGCTCCGCCCGCCTCTCAGCATCCCCAGCCCTGTCAGGGAAGCTGGGTGTCATGGCTCCGATGGCAGCTATGTGCCGGGCTCTCCTGGGCCGGGAGGAAGGAGGGGGAGACGGAGGTGCAGAGGCGAGGGCTACAGGTAGGGCTGGAATCAGGGTCCATGGCCTGAAGCCCGTGCCCCTGACTTTGTCCCTGGAGCCCCAGTCTGGGGCCCTGGCCTTCGTGGAGAGTCGGTCTGGTCCTGGAGCCCCAGCAGAGGCCCTGGCGGGCACCTTTGAGGAGAAGTTGTGGAGGCTCCACTTCATCGGCGTGCTCTGCCCAAACTGGTCCAGGATGGCCCAGACATCGTCTAAGTGGCGCGCTGCGGCCAAGCCTGTGGTGAGGGCAATGCCCTGTGGGGAGGGAAGCAGCCCGGGCAGAGCGTCACCATGCAGGCCCAGCCCCGCCCCGCCCCTCGACCCCTCCCAGGCCACTGCCCTCAGGCCCCACAGGACTGGCAACTCTGAGCCAGGCAAGAGGACACAAGCTGTGGGTGAGATCAGGGGCTTTCTACAACAGGGTCAGAGGTCAGGCGCTGAGCAGGGCTCAGCGGGACCAGGGGTCCCAGCCTAGCTTGTGATGAGAATCAGCACTCAGCTTGTGACTAGGGCCAGGGCTTAGCTGGGGACCAGTCAGGGCCCTGGTGTGGGTCGGTGACCAGGCTCAGCGCAGGGTCAGGGTGTCCCGGGGCCAGGTTGGTGCTGGGTCCTACCTCCCTCTGCTTGGGCAGCTGATGGGATGTTTGCAGGAGCGCCCACAGGTGCGTTCGGAGGATGGTGCTGTCCTCCTCCGCTTGCAGGATCAGCCCATAGTAGGTGAACAGAAAGGCCTGGCGGAGCGTCGGGCATCCCGTCCTGAGCTGACCTGCCTGGCCTGGCCTGCCGCCTCCTCTGAGCAGCCCCCTGACCTCGGTAGTGCCCTCCCTCCCATCCTACCCTGTGTCGGGAATAAGCCCACCCAAGGGGGCAGTGGGGGAAACTGAGTCCTGCTGCCCAGGCCCACGCTGACTTACACAGCCTGGTTCCCTTCTGGGATGTGGATGGAGTGCAGGTGTCAGGGGCTGCTGGGGGAGGGGGCTCACCTTCTCAGGGGGCTGCCGGGGGGAGGGGGCTCACCTTCTCAGGAGGCTGCTCTTGTGGGGCCCACCCGGGCCTGGTGAGTGCCTCTTGCATCTCCTTGAACCACATGTCTGAGTTCAGGAACTGCCTGGACTTGAGGGCTATCTGTGAGCAGACAGGGGAGGGGCAGGCCGGGCCTGGGCGCTCTCTCTCACCTGAGTGCTGGGGCCGGCACCAGCTCAGCGCCCCAACCCCTGACTTGCTCCTCTGGGTCTCTGGGGTCCAACTCCCCTGTCTGGCCCTCAGCTCTCCACTGGCCCAGTGGATATGCTCAGAGCACACAGGAAGCCCAGGAGCCTGGGTGGCTGCAGGTCAGGTACCAACTGAGCAAGTCTCCAGAACTGGCTGGGGTCCCACGCTGGACAGGTGCAGGTGCTGTCTGAAGATGGCCCTCGGCAGGAAGGCCCGGGAAGCACACCTGCCGTGCACTCCCAGCGGAACCCCGGGACCGTAAGGGTGACTGCATCCGCATTTTTAGGGTGGACTCCTACTTCTAAAGAAGTTCACTGCCAACAAACTCTGCTTGTCAGCAGTCACCTGATGTATTTTAAGTCACCATCTCCTGACTACATCAAGAGGCCACCTTGGAGACAGGCCTGAACCTCTAGGTGTGTGTGCTGTGTCCATGTCCTGTAACATCACTGGCCCGCCCCCCCCTCCCGCCCCATGTCTCAGAGTGACCACCCACTTCCCAGGACTTTAACAGCAGGGGCAGATCCTTGGTTCCTCTACATCCATTGGTGAGCAGAAGTTTTAATTTTGAGGAAAGCAAGATTGTCATAACTGTTTTTTTTTTTTTTTGGGTAGTGATAACCAAAGTGATGGTGAAGGTGATGATGATGATGAAGGTGACTGGTATATGTTATGACAGTGGAGGTGATATTGGAGGTAATAATAATTAAGCAGAGTTTTGCATGGGGCTTCCCCCGCATTTGTTAGTGAAGAAACAGAGGGACAGAAATGAAAAGCAGGTTGCTGCAGTTCACCTGCTATGGCCCGTGTCCCTCTGAGGGTTGTAAGTAAGCCTGTCATGGGGCGGAGGGCCAGAGACGGGGCTGACTGACACTTTCTCCATCCACCCCCATCAGCTTCCTGCCTGTGCTGGTCCCAGCTCTGGTCCCTGAATCTCTTCAGGCCTCCCTTAGTCGCATATCCAGCTCTAGGATGGGGCAAAGCTATTTGTGTGGAACCTGTGTTCTGTGACAAGTGTCTACAGACCGAGATTCAACGCTCCTGTGTTCTGTGACAAGTGTCTACAGACCGAGATTCAACGCTCATGCTCTCCAGTAACCATCTCTCTGCTTGCCATGCTGTTTGCAAACCTCTAATCTGGGGTCTGCCTTCGCACCTCTTTTCCTCTCCTTCTCCCCCTTCTTCCCTTCTACGTATGCCCGCCCCTTCCCCCCCCCCCGCTGGCCTCCCCTCCCCTCCCCCTCTCACTTCTGAACCCAGCACTGCCCTCTGCTTGCTGTTGACCTCCCTACCTGTGCCAGCTGTTCTTCCCAGCGTTTCCTCTGATCCTCGTCCTCTGTGGGAGAAGGACAGGTTCCAGGACCACCTCCTCATGCCTAGTGTTGTCACACCTTAGCCTGATACCTATAGCCCTGTTTACAGCCCTCGTGTCTACAGTCCTCACACCTACAGTACTTATGTCTACAGTCCTCATACCTACACCTTTAAACCTACAGTCCCCACACCTACAGCCTGCATACCTACAGCCTGCATACCTACAGTCCTCACAGCTACAGTCCTCACGCCTACAGTCTTCATACCTACAGCCCTCATGCCTACAGCCTTGCTTCAGCCTGGCTCCCTGGAAGCAGGCAGGCAGGCAGGCAGGAGGAAGATGATCAGGACTGTGTCCCTTGCCACATGGCGGCCCGTGTTCCCACTCCCTCCTGGGGTTGTCTACTTCTCTGGGCTCTGCCCAGCTCCTACTTGTAGGCAGAGAGTAAATGAATGAACAGACGTGGCAGAAGCGGGGCGGGGCGGGATGGTGGTGGGGGATGGGGGTGGGCAGATACTGTAGTGTTGGGGTGGTTGGGCGCTGGCTGACCCTAGCCTCATACCGACTCGCTGAGCTGGTCTCATCTGCCATGGGTGCTCGGGAGCCCCTCTCTATAAGCCGTCCGGCCCTCCCATGCCAGTGCGCACCCTGAGATGATAGTTTGCTCATCACATAGATCAGGCTGCGATGCGGGAAGACACTATTGAGGAGGTGCGTCTCCAGCTGCTGGGTCACTGTCTGCCACGAGTGCCGGAAGATGGCCACCAGCACGTGGCTGGCTGCGTCCTGGTAGATGTCCTCCAGCTCCTGGGCAGGGGCAGGGGCAGCAAGGAAGCCCCAAGTAAGAATAGACTTGCACAGAGTAGCTATATCAACCCATTCTTTTGGAAAGAAAATAGAGGCTGTTGGCATTCCCATGTCTGTGCTTGGACAACAGCTGAAAGTCCCCGGCCGAGGTCACCTCTCCTGGTGCGAACCTCCAGGCTGCACAGGACACGCCTGTTCAACCTGTCTGCCCACACAGCCAGCCGGGCAAGGCTCCAGTGTCTGGCCCAGCTGAGCAGTTCCTTGGGCCAGGCCAGCCCCGCCTGGAGTGGGGTGGTCACGATGCCCCTCTCAGAGAGCACACTGGTGTTTCTCCAGCTCCTTCCCGCTGGAGGAGGCCGCGGGGAGGGGCCGCAGGGCTCTGCCCCATTTGGTGATGTCTGCAGGTGCAGGAGGCAGAGGCCCTCCTCCCAGGACACCAGCAGGCCATGCAGCGGAGTGGCCGCAAGGGCTTCTTGTGGACATGGTGACTTTGATCTGACTTTCGCTTTCAAAAAGCTCTCTCATCTAAAATCTACATTTAGGGCCAGGTGTGGGTGGCTCACATCTGTGAGCAGGAGGCTGAGATCTGAGGATCGCACCATCCTGCTCCATCCTAACCCAACACAAGAGATCAGTGAGGAGGAGGAGATGATGTGGCTAGTCCTCTGCTGTCACTCACATCCAGGCCTCTCTGGCTTCCCTGGGGCTCAGGAAACTGGTCACAGCTGCTGCTCACCAGCTGGCGTCTCCCTCAGGCAAGTTTCCCAACTGAGCCTTAGTCTCTTTAGTAAAGCGGGGGGCTTATGAGCACCTGTGGGGAGGGCACGAGGCCCATCCTGAGCCTCCCCGCTCACTGCCGGCGACACCTGCTGTTCCTATGGCAGAGGCTGAGCACAGCCAGGGGAAAGAGCAAAGAGCCAAGGTCCCTCACCTCAGACATACGACTATTCTACAGGTGTTGTGCTATCATTCCTGTTACCTACTCTGACCAGCTGTAAGTCTCGAGGCTTTGTCCAGAGCGTCTACTGGCCCCGGTCCTCCATAGCCCTGTGTGCTATGCGGTGCCCATGTTTTGGTTGGGGGCTGGTCCCCAAATGGGGTGTGAGGAACTCACCGTGGATTTGGTCATGTTCTCCAGGGCCAACTGTGTGTAGTATTTTTCCCAGATCTCTCCTAGGGAGTCACTGGCTCCAATGACAGTCTCCAGGACCTGGAGTAGCCGGAACTTGTGCCGGTTGGAGATCTGTGGACAGCAGAAGGGTCCGATGGTGCAGGTGATGTCACGATGTTATGAGGAACATTGGTGCAAGGGGTTCAGGAAGGCCGAGGGAAGGAATCAGAGTTACCATTCACTCGGTGGTAACCTGTGAAGAATGCCTGCCTGCCCACCTGCTACCCAAATGCAGCAGACCTGAAAGGAGTGTGTCTCTCTCTCCAGAGGACCGTTAGGGGATTCAATAGAACTCTGTCTTCAAAGACAAGGCATTCATTTGTCCATCCAACCATCCATCCATCCATCCATCCATCTGTCCATCCATCCATCCATCCATCTGTTCATTCTCTGAAGCTCAGGCAGATTTCTCCATCCATCCATCCATCCATCCATCCATCCATCCATTTACCTTACTATCTACCCTCCTTCTTTTTCCCTTCCCTCCATCCCTCCATCCATATATCCACCCACCCATCCACCCACCCATCCATTCAGTCATGCACGCATCCATTCTGAACTAGATGAATCTCTTCCCCACTGTGGGGATCAGAGCCTCTCTGAAGTGGTCTAGGTGTAGCCAGCATGGCTGGCCCACCTTCCCTCCCTTTCCACTCCATACATCAGCATAGGAGGAGATTATGCTTTGCCCCCAGATTATGCAGCTGCTCTCTGTAGGACCTGGGGTTGGAGCCCACCTCTGGATTGTCTTTGAGGTAGTCGTGGATGGTTTCCAACACCAGGCTGGAGCACCCCTGAGCCATTTTCTTGATCTTCTTGATGACGTACTTCAGGTGCAGAGGGTCGGAGCTGTTCATGTCCCGGAGCATCTTGTAGCAGATGGCTGAGGGTGGAGGAAAGGCATAAGGAGGCTGGGCTGTGAGGATGCCACACAGGGTAGCAGGGCTGGCAGGAGGGCAGGGCAGGCTTGGGAATGGCAGCCCTGGGCCCTTGCCCAGGTGGTCCTTGTGGGGTTCAGGATGAGAGCGAGCGCAGATGGTGTCTGTCCCAGCAGATACAGGCTGTGTTCTCCCATTGCCACCCACTCACACATCCACCCACATTCCCACCTACCATACACTCATCCACCCACGCACCTGTCTATCCACCCACACGTGTCTATCCAACTGTCTACCAACCCAGGTACCTATCCATCTGTTTGTTCATTTTTATATTCATCCACCTACATACTCATAATCCATCAACCACTGACTCTATGTCCATGTTTAAATCAATCTATACATCCACCATTCATCCATCCATCCATCCATCCATCCACCCATCCATCAATCATCCACCCACCCACCCACCCATCCATCCATCCATCCATCCATCCACCATCCGTCCACCCATCCATCCACCATCCACTATCCGTCCACCCATCCATCCACCCTCCCATTCATAAATTCATCTGTATTTTCCTATCTTTATCCATCTGGTTTTTGAGCCTTCTATCTTCTAGTCAATCCAACACTCCCCGGTGTTTGAACAAAAAGCAAAACATTCCAGAGAGGGTGCCAGGCCTACACTGGGGTTCTGAGGCTTGGGTGTATGGGGTGGGGGACCGGGTGTTCAGGTTTTGGAAGGCATATCAAGAGGCAGGACATGCCAAGAGTATAAGGAACCCTGCCGCAAGCTTCCTGTAGCCACACTGCCCACTGCCCTGAGGCCCCGCAGGGGCCCGCAGCCCTCCTCCACGGGGATCAGCCAGAGCCCAGCCCCTAAGGGACCCCGAGCCCGGGGCTGGTGAGCACCTGCATTGTAAGCCTCCTCCATGAACTTCTGATGCTCCTGGGGCACCAGAGCTGCCTGGCTGCTCTTGGACTTGCAGAGCAGGATGGTTGTGGGCTGCGAGCGTCTGTCCCAGCAGACGTAGTCCTCTGGGACCCTCGGCCTGCCCGATGACTCCTGGGAGGACATGTCCGGGTGGGAGGAGGTCCTACAATGGCAGAGGGGCCTTGGGGTCAGCATCTGTGGGCACCTGTGTGTGTGCAGAGGCTGGGGACATGCACATGTGGCAATGTTCTTCCACGTGGCCGCCCTTCTGTCCAGTGGCCTGGCTGGGTCCCGGGGGGCAGGGCCGGGCTTGAGGCCTTGGCAGGTGTGGGGACATGGGGTACTCGGGGTGCATGTCTCTCGCTCTCACTGGCATGGAGGCACTTAGGGCCTGGCTCTTCAGGCTGGTACAGGGCCCGCCTGTCCCCCTCTGGCTGCCCAGGTGTCCTGGGGGCTGTCGAGGGAGAAGAGGTCGCTGTGGGAGCAGGTGGGGCAGGAGTGGGGGTGGTGTTAAGGCTGTGCCCCCCTGCCCTTGCTCCCCCTCCTGAGAATGTGGGGAAAGGATTCCTTCAGACCCGAGAAAGAGGGGGTTCTGGGGCAGCCACCAGGCCAGCTCCCACGCTCAGCTCTTACTTCGCCTGCTCCTGGGGGTGAATCCTGTGTAGGAAACCTGGGGTACTCCAGTGAATGGAGATGAGGTGGAGATGATGTGGCGTTTCCAAAGGTTTACCTTTCATCCGTGAGGAGCCATCACTGGGACCCCACCAATGGGTCCCCATGCCAGACCCCGCCCACAGCCCTGCACCACCCAGGGGGAGTCCTCAGACCCCGCCCACGGCCCTGCACCACCCAGGGGGAGACCTCAGACCCCGCCCACGGCCCTGCGCCACCCAGGGGGAGACCTCAGACCCCGCCCATGGTCCTGCGCCACCCAGGGGGAGACCTCAGACCCCGCCCATGGTCCTGCAATCCCCCAGGGGGAGTCCTCAGACCCCGCCCATGGTCCTGTGCCACCAAGAGGAGAGACCTCAGACCCCGCCCATGGCCCTGCGCCACCCAGCCAGGGGGAGTCCTCAGACCCCGCCCATGGCCCTGCGCCACCCAGGGGGAGACCTCAGACCCCGCCCATGGCCCTGCGCCACCCAGGGGGAGTCCTCAGACCCCGCCCATGGCCCTGCGCCACCCAGGGGGAGAGACCTCAGACCCCGCCCATGGTCCTGCGCTACCCAGGGGGAGAGACCTCAGGGACCCCGAGCCTGGGGCTGGTGAGCACCTGCATTGTAGGCCTCCTCCATGAACTCAGACCCCAGACCCCCTCACCAGGCCTCAAGGGGCCTGTGGGGCTCATGCTTCCCAGTCCCACAAATGATGCACGATGCCAATGCTCCCAGCCACAGTTGAGAACCAGGATCAGATTCACATTCTGCCTTAGGCAAGTCAAAAATGCACGTGAATGTGTGAGTGTGTGCCTATGAGTATGAGCATGCGTGAGAGGGCGTGGGGACATCTTTGTGTGCCCATGAAGGTGTGTGTAAGCTCTGTGCAACTGAGCATGTGCGTGTGTGACCGCGTGTGAGAGGGTGTGAAGTGTGAGGGCATCAGTGTCAGGGTGAGGACCAGGCAGTGAGTCTGAAAGCCTGAGCATGTGTCTGCCTGCTCCCCAGTTTGGTGGAAACCAGAAATGCACAGATAGGAGACTCCGAGTTCCCAATCACAGCGAAACAGAATTGCCCAAAACCCACGAGAAGGGAAGTCCTGAAAAAGCCGAAGGGAAGAGTGGCATGGAAGGGAGGAAGGAGGACAGCGGGTTCTTGAGGGAACAGAAGGGGACACAGACACCTGCCACACCCAGACAACACCCTGCACACTGCAGGAGGGACAGAGCGTGTCACCCTCCTGTGACCCCTCCGAGTCCACCCCAGGCCTGCTCGGCGGCCGGTGCTGGGGGTGGCTGTTCAGAGGCTTCGCTCCAGGTGCGCATGGAGAAATGGTGAACGCAAAATATTTCTCTTTGTTCTCCAAGTAGAAAACAAATGGTGCTATAGATTTATAACAAACACAGCAACACAGCACAAGGCCAGAGAGAAACTGATTTGAATGTTAAGATGTTTTGTGTTCTAAGGGGCACAACCCAGCACTGCATGCTACGAACCTTTTCCGATGGCCAAGAGTAAAACAACACCAAATACAAACATAAATCCAACAGAGGACAGGGATGAAGACCCTATCTTATCAAATGAGGCATTCTAACAATAAATGACTTGAAGGCCACAAACAGTGAGACCCAGGTGTCACTGCCAATAAGCAAGATATGTGTGCCACACACACAGTGGCACACCTGGAATCCCAGCACTGAGAAGGGAGGTCTCAAGTCTGAGGCCAGCCTGGGCTCCAAAGTAAGACTGTCCCATAACAACAACAACAACAACAAAGCACAGCGGATACCAGCTGATTAAAAACAAGAGACTAGAAAAGGTATTCATACAGCCCGCTACCCACAATCTCAGAAAACTGATATTGCTTTGTTCATATTAAATGAGACACATTTTAGATTAAATACTATGACAGCCATAAAGGAGAAATTTATCAAGATGATAATCATTATAAAAGCTCATGCACGGCCTGGCAGGACCTCACAGTACACAAAGCAAGGAGCGCAGGTCCAGAGAAAAAGCGGACAGACACATCAGCAGCCACAGTGGCTTTCTGGCGATTGGTGAAGTTGGGGAAGAGATAACCCCGAAGGACACAAGAGACAATGTCAGGTGTTCCGTGCTGCTGGAACTCTCCAGCAGGAAAAACTATGTCCTTTTGGATGCTTGGCACATATAGGGATAGGCCAAATTGCCTGCTGTAAAAAGACCAACTAAGTTTGTAAAAATTCAAGTCAAATAAGAACAATTTTCAACCCCCATGGGATTAATTTAGAACTCAGTAACAGAGAGGTGGGACATTCCTGGGACTTGGAGACAAAATGTTGTATTTTCAAATAACCCAAAGGTCAAGAAGAGGTCACCGAGAGGGAAATATCTTCAATGGGACAAAACAGAAACCAAAATGTCCTAGCGGAAAATTGATAGTCTTAAACACAAACTAAAAAGAATGAAAGTTGGAAAATGATGACTTAGAATCCCACCTTTGAAACAAACAAACAAAAAAGACAAATTAAAGTCCAAGAAAGAAAAGAATAAAATGGAAATACCAATGAGCCCAATGCTGGTTGATACGGTCGCCTGCCCGGCAGCATTTATTGGACAAAAAAAAAAATCAAAAACAAAAGAGGAGATAAAATACTAATATAATGCAAGAGTGGTTCATTATTACAATAATAAGGAAACAGTGTAAAGTAACCTTAGGGCAAAAACACTGACAACTCACACAAATTCCTTAAGGCTACAACTCACCAAACCTCATCTAAGACTTAAGTTGCAAGAATAGTACGAAAATTACTCTCCAAAATACTTTGCAGAAACAATAGGGTCTAGATTTTAGCAACTGTTGGAAGAAGAAAAAATATCATACAGATCCTACACAACTCTTCCAGAAGCGAGAGGAGCCGCACCAGCTAGCTCCACGAGGCAGATGTTCCTGACTCCAGAATCACACAACATCCCAAAGAAGACAGAGCCATCAGCAGATATACTTGTTTGTTTGTGGTGCTGGGGATTGAATCAGGACCTCCTACATACTAGGCAATCATCGTGCGCACTGTGAGCTTCATTCCAGCCCCACACCATGTATTTTTGTGGGGGACCTTACTGGAGTTTGAACTCATGTTGGCTAGGCAGGTGCTCTACCACTTGAGCCACACCTCTAGGTTGGCATTTTGCTGGTTAACTGGAGAGGGAGTCTTTCAGATTTTTCTGTCTTTGCTGGCTTCAAACTGTGGCCATCCAGATTCCAGCTTCCTGAGTAGCTAGGATGAAAGGCGTGAGCCTCTGACACCTGGCTGGCCACTAGTTTTGATAAAGGTGAAGAAATGGAATCCATACATGGTACCACAACATGGGATCTGCACATGCTAAAATAAGCCCCCAGTCTCCTTTACAAACATGCTCACTCAAAATACAGCACACTGCTAAAGGAAAAACCTACGCTCTGGAAAATTCTGGATGCAAACAGGAGAGAAATCTTTGTGACCTTAGTGACACAAAGAATTTTTTAGATGTGACACCAGAAGCGTTGCCCATTAAAGAAAGAAATGAATACACTCGATTTAATAAAAATGTTAAAAAGTGTGCTTTTTGAAAGATAGCCTGGAAAAATGAATAGACAAGCTGAGGACTTTGAGGAAATTATTGCAAGTCACAAATCTGATAAAGGATTATATCCAGAACACAAAGACGTCTTAAAACCAAGCAAGCCAGGTGTGGCAACTTGAGCCCATCATCCCGGCTGTTTGGAAAGGTGGACGTGTTGGGGATCAGGATTCAAGGGAGGCCTGGGCTGAAAAGTTTGCAAGACACCATCTTGACTGATGGTGGGCATGGCGGCACTTGTTAACCCTGTTATGGGAGGCAGCACCATTGCTGGGAACAGGTGCACACCTGCCCTCCCAGCAGTTGATGAAAGGCACAAATAGGAGGATTGCAGCCTGGGCATAAAAGCAGACCCTACTTCAAACACAATAAGGCAAGCCAGGCACCAGTGGCTCACACCCATAATCCCAGCTACACAGGAAGATGAGATTTGAGGATTGTGGTTTGAAGCTAGGCTGGGTGGGAAAGTCCATGAGACTCTTACCTCCAATGAACCACCAGAAAACCGGAAGTGGGGCTGTGGCTCTAAGTGGCAGAAAGCTAGCTAGCCTTGAGCACAAAAGCTCAGGGACAGTACCAAGTCCCTGAATTCAAGCCTCAGGACTGACACAAAAAAGGCAAAAAGGCAGTGTGAGCCGGGTGCTTGTGGCTCACACCTGTAATCCTGGCTATCCAGGAGGCTGAGATCTGAGGATCATGGTTCAAAACTAGCCCAGGCAGAAAGTCTTTGAGATTCTTATTTCCAATTAACCACCAGAAAACCAGAAGTGGCGCTGAGGCTCCAGTGGTAGAGCGCTCGATGTGAGCTGAAGAGATGAGGGACAGTGCCCAGGCCCAGAGTTCAAGCCCCACATCTGGAAAAAAAAAGGAAATGTGGCTCAAGTG